TATTGTAATATCAATATTTAATGCTCATCTATATTATGGAACCATGATTTCTAATGAACACAGGCAGCAAAGACCTTATTAACAGCATAAATAATTGCACAGTTGCTGGTAACATGGTAAAGCATGGAACACTTGAAAAATACCTGATCTCCTCTCCCCTGTCATGTTTCCTACTCTTTGCTCTTTGGCTTATGAATGATGGATGGCAGACCAAATGTGGGCCAGGTCACTAGTGACTGAATGTTGTTAACAGCTAACAGGTGCTCAGCAAGAGCTCAGTTGGCTGTTTCTAAATCAGCTCCCAGTTAGTAGGTGCTCCCATCATTAAAATGAACTCTCAAAGGGTGAGGTAGACCTTTCCAAAGGGGCCTGTGTCCCCATTTGCCCTGCTCCTAGTTTAGGGCTTGGTTGAAGGAGTTCTGGGAGTTGTAGATTCCAGGTCTTGTGCAATCAGTAGGCTTCCCAACAAGGAATACTGGGAAAGGAGACCTGTACAGAGGCCATGCTCCCCGGCTGCTGGGAGCATTAGCACTGTAGGAAACAATGAAGTCTTCCCAAGAAAGGGAGACTTTAGAGCAATGGAGGTGGAATGTCAGATAAGCAAGACCAGTGCAATGAAACTCAGTGCTGCAATGGGTAGGAATGACAACAGATCTAACTGCATTCAGAATTAAATACAAAAGTCAGAACATGTACATTTCCCATAGTTGCCCCTTCCCCCCAACACACACACACTTTATTAGTGGAAGAGAAAGAGAGCTTATTATTGCCTTTCTGGTACTTGGTAAATAGTTTCATAGTTGGTAGGGTCAGAAGGGACCTGAGCAGATCATCAAGTCTGACTCCCTGCCATGGCAGGAATGAATGCTGGGGTTAAATGACCCTGACAAGGTGTCTATCTAGCCTCCTTTTGAAGATCCCTAGGGTAGGAATGAGCACCACTTCCCTTGGAAGTTGGTTCCAGATCCTAGCCGCCCTGACTGTGAATTAGTGCCTCCTGATATCTAGCCTGAGTCTACTCGCTGTCAACTTATGGCTGTTATTCTTTGTTACTCCCAGTAGTGCTTGGGGGAACAGGGACTCTCCCATTGCCTGCTGGTCTCCCTTGGCCAGTTTATAGATGGCCACCAGATCCCCTCAGCCTTCTCTTGTGGAGGCTGAACAGGTTCAGGTCTTGTAGCCTCTCCTCATACGGCCTGCCCTGCTGCCCTCTGACCATGCGAGTGGCCCTCCTCTGGACCCTCTCGATGCTGTCCACATCCCTCCTGAAGTGCGGCGCCCAGAACTGGACACAGTACTCCAACTGCGGCCTGACCAGTGTCGCATAGAGGGGGAGGATCACCTCCTTGGACCTGCTCGTGATGCATCTGTGGATACATGAGAAGGTGCGGCTAGCTTTCCTGACTGCATCCTCACATTGGCGGCCCATGTTCATCTTGGAATCAATAATGACTCCAAGATCCCTCCCATAAATACCCATATACTGCAATGAGGAGTGCCAGTAGGAAAACCTAGATACATTGTGTCTACTGCTTCCGACATATCTTGAGAACAACTTGCCTCCCAAAATCTCCCATAAGTCAGGAGCTTAGAAATATCCCAAGAGCAGCAGATCTTGCAACAGTAACTGGGTCTCAGATCTTCAACAACAGCTTGGTGGTAGGCCTGTGTGAAACGGCACTGTTCTGTTCTGACTTCAGTTTCAAGGTCTGGACGGAGCAGTGTTTTGTATCTAATTTCATTTTGAGTCAAAACGGTCAGGCTGTTTTGATGCTGTTTTGATGTTTCACCTGACCATTGGGCTGGGGAAAGGAACTCAGCCTAGCTGGGCTGAGTTCCCATCCCCATCCCCACGATCGGGTTGGGGAAACTCAGCCCAGCTAGGCTGCTTTCCCATCCCCCTGCACTAGATTGCGCCAGGGGTGCGGAGTCACTGCCCCCAGTGCAATCTAGTGTGGGGGATGGGGAGGCAGCCCAGCTGGGCTGACTTCCCGTTCCCTGCCAGATCTTGCTCCAGGGATGGTAAGTCAGCCTAGCTGGACTGATTTCCCATCCCCAACACTATGGTCGCAATGTTTTGACTAGCCTCATTTTGTTTTGAGGCTATTTTGACACCCTTTGTTTCACTTTGTTTTTGCTGTTTCGACCTCGAAATGAGTCAAAACAGTGTTGAAATGAAATGGCAAGCGAAATTTTGTGCAGCCCTATTTGGCAGATGATGACAGCACAGAATACAAACCCAGGCTGACTTTGTCCCTTCTCCAACTGCAAACCCCAACCCTGAACCCAGTGCTTGAACTAAACATGTACATTGCTTCTTTGGCTCCATCCACTTGTTAAAATGTACTGGGGGCTAAAAGCAGCTTTAGTTAGTTATGTGGCCTCTCCCTAGGGGTGTTGCTGGAGTCTCTAACTGAGGGAGAAGGATCTCTGCCAAGTCTGCACTGCGAGTCAGTGCCTTCTTCAGTTTTCTGACTGTGTGTGCGTGTGTGTATGTGAGAAGGAGAGAAAGAGAGTGTGAGTTTCTCTGATGGCACAGGTTGTACCTGAGTATGTTGGCAGCAGTAGCCCCAGGGGCCAGCTCTACACTTGACAGCTCAGTGGGACAATTTTTATTGTAGCTTTACAGTATGTGCCTGCAAGGCTGTCAGGTACTTCCTTGGATACAAAAGTCTGTTTACAGATTATTAAAAGGCAGTACAGGGCGTGATCACAGGCAGGAGCTGGAACCTGAGTTCTGCCCTAGACAATGCCCAATAATTTGGGCTGAAATACAAGTTGTAACTAGCATCATGCCCAATAGAAATATGAACTGATGAAAGGACAAGGAGGTCCAGCAGACAAAGAAGGAGATTTAGGACCCTTGCCTTTGCCTACACTTCCTGTGGGACCCTGAGCAAGGCTCTGTACCTCAGTTTTCCTGTCTGTAGAATGGGTGCCAAATCCTCCCCAATTCCATGGCTTTCCATGGGGCTCACTCAAGCTGGCAAGGTGTGTTCAGAAATATCCCAAGAGCAGCAGAGGAGAAGGAGGCTTGTTTTTTTGTCTCACACATTAGTACTGGCTACTGAATGGCAACAGGGGGGGAGGAGTGGTCTCTAGGTAGTGACAACTGAATACCTCTTGGAGAGGATTGGTCTCTAGGTAGTGACAACTGAATACCTCTGGTCAGCACCCTTCACCCCAAGTCCTGGAGTTTTCCACTATTCGAATGAAGTGACCCACTTCTCCCCATGCCTGACTTCTCTTTCTGTAGTGGTTGAAGGTAGGCGAGACCAGTGTGAGGCACCCAGAGACCCCAAGTACCCTGACTGCTCTGGAAAAGTGGAGGTGAGTTGTCTCCAAGTGGTTCTTAACCTAACCCAATTTCAACGTGCTTTCCTGTGGGGTGATGTCAAGGTGCACAACCTAATTGTTGCAGATTTGCTATTTTTGTACCATTCTTCTCTAGGAAAAAGAGTTGGGGATGAAAATGGAAATAACTATCAGTGGCATGGAATAATTGCCATCTGGGCATAGGAATTTAATGTAAAACTAGAAAAGCAGCAGTCCATGGAGTGGAGGGTGCAGAAATGCCTGCTGTTCCCTTCAAAGCCAAATGGACTTCTGTCTCCCTCCGCCTGGGTACATTTGTTTCTGGCTCGATTACTTTTCAAACAAGAGAGAATGCAGTGCTCCAACTCACAGAGTGCCAGAAGATCAGGAGGCAGAAAAGGCCATGTTATTGCTGCAAAGGGAGAACACAAATCAAAACAGCCCATTGATACTGGAGCAGAAGAGACTCATTTAGTTTTTTGCCATGAGCCTTTGTCGTAAGGACCTAATTGGGTGTCTGTGATTTATCTGGCCATGCATTTCTTTTTGGTTTAATTATTTGAGTATGAACAATGTGAAGCTTCTTCTTAAATATATGGAGTGTTGTCTAGTTTCTGGGGAATAGTCTAAACACTGCAAATGAGAAAGTATCTCATTAAGGTAACATGACACTGGTGCAATAGTGCATCCTATATAATACAGTTTGCTCTCTGTACCTGGGAATAGGCTTGGCATTTATCCTGGGTCATGATGGCAGTAGTTTGAGATGAACCAATTAAAAATTCCACCTGCCAGCCACCCACTTTGCTTTAAGTTATGCATTATTTAGTTTATGGGCAAAAATATTAAAGAGCATATTAATAAGACACTACGGCTCCGCTTTTACATTCTCCCAGCACTAACCATCATTTCCTTCCATCTTCTTCTAGGGCTTGGTTAAATTTTGAGTGTAATTTAATTGTCGAATGCAGTAATTCGATCTCCTGTCTGGATGATTGGTGTGTTTTACATATTGGGCGCATAGACACGTCTCCTGAGTAGATTCGTTTTTGTAGTTAAATTAGAAAGAGGCTGGCACAAGCAATTCCAGAGGATGATAGATCTGTGCTGAGCCTTGTGGTTATTCTCCTGAATGCAAAATCACCCTTGGGGAACTCCAGTACATCTCTGTCTCCTTGGTTCTCAATACCCTCTTCTCCTTAGGTTATGAAATCCGGAGTTGTGTTTCCAGAGCAGCAAGGCTAACAAGGAGTTGTCACCACAGCGTTTTGTTCTGAATTTCCCCACCCTTTACCTGGACTTTAGTGGTTCTGCCCCTGAAGAGCCTATGCAGAGCTGAATCAGATGCAAAGTCAAGGAGGAACCTTCAATGCAGTTTCTCTGTGTTTGGTATTAATCCTGCCAAAGTGATGACCGAGGAATCCCAAATGCTTTGTAAAGCCATGGACAAGCTCTATTCAGCTGGTGTAAATCAGCATAGTTTCAATGCTATTAAGACTGTGGCACTGTCAGTGAACCTATGCTGATTTCCAGCAGCTAAGCACGTGCCCATTCCTATCCTCTCCCACTGCTTCCAGTTTCCCCACAGAAAGGTTCCCAGGGTCCCTGCCTATAACCAGACTTACAGTGGTCACCTACTGGTGTCTTAGTGGGAACAGAGGACCCTGAAACATCTGTCTAGCATGCCAAAGGCCCAGTTCCCCAGCTTGGGGATTGACAGAGGTCATCCCTTTGAATTGTGTCTTCTCCTGCTTTCAGTGGATGAGGGCCAGGTGGACTTCTGACCCCTGCTACGCGTTTTTTGGTGTGGATGGCACAGAATGCTCCTTCCTCATCTACCTCAGTGAAGTTGAGTGGTTTTGTCCTCCACTGCCATGGAGAAATCAGACGGCAGCCCTGCCTTCACCCAAGCCACTGCCCAAGGCACAGGTAAGGTCGGTGCAGGCATGTGAATCAGGCCAGCACCATCTTTTAGGAGTATTTCTCTGAGGGCTGCTGGATTCAGTCTCTACATAGTAGACTGAGAAAGGCAAGGAGATGCAAATGGTACCAGAAGAAAACCTAAATGAGGGAGACCATTGAAACAGAGGGCCTTGTATTATGGATGCCTAGAAGTTCATATTAGATTGGAGGCATTATTAAACCCACAAGCACAGCCTTCTACTGTAACACTTGGCATCCGTTATAATGGGCTGTAGCACTGCTGTAGGAAAGGCTGAACTCAGTGCCTTAGCTTAGTTCTCTTACCCTAAGCCAGGGGTACTCAACCTCTAGCCGACAGCACCATGTCATCTGACCTGTGGAGCTCCCCATGGGTCTAGAAATTTGGTGGCAGGAGAGCAGAAGATGGTGGTGCCAGACCCATGGGACCCAATCCTACAGCAGGGGGGGCAGAAGGGGGTGGTGCTGGCTCCATGGAACTCAGTCCTGGCATGAGGGAGGCAGGAGGGGGCAGCACTTGGGACCCAGTCCCAGTGCCTGGAGGTTGAGAAGGGGTGGTGCCAGGGACCAGTCTGGCCTGCAGACAGTCCAGTCCAGCCCATAGACAGGCTCTGGGAAGCTCATTTGGGGAAAAAGGCCAAGCACCACTGCCCTAAGCCATTTGTCTGCTGAGATCATTCAATTGATAGCACCTGTGACTACCTGCTTGCTGCGCAGACAGAAATGACCACATTTCCATGCATGGATTTGGTGTTTTCAGAAGCTGCAGTGTCAGTGATAGATTCCTCATGTCTGGAGGGAGCCAACCCATTAGTTACAAGAAGGCAAAATACACTTGGAGAGCTGGTGGACACAAGCTACACATCAAACTGAAGGTGTGATAGTGGCATGGGTAGGCCTGCCCTTGCTGGCTTTAATCTCTCCAGCCTGGGTACCACAGGCAGTGGACCCCCGGTAGCAAGCACTTCAAGATGTCTGTGGACTCTGGGTCTATGCTGTGGCTGCTGCTCTGTGCTGAAGCCCAAACTGCCGTGTCTTCACTGCATTTTACCTATGCTGCCTAAACTAAAGCCAGTGCATGCAGGCCTACCTCTCCTGCAGTCGCACCTTCTTTGTCCTGGGTGGGTCAAGCCTCTAGCTTTGATCAAGTATGTGTGAGAGATATAGGGTGACTGAGTGTTTTGCCTGATGACTCTTTCACTTAATGCCAGCACTTTTGGCTATTCCTCTGTTCTGACTGGAATCACAGGAGCGGGGTGTCCCTGTGCTTCTGAGTGGACATTTTGGAAGCATAAGGACTAACTAGCAGAAGTGCCTCTTACCATGGTCTGGGCTGCTAAGGCTCCTGCCTGCAGCAAGACTGTCCTCAGGTGGAGACTCCTCACTTGCTCTCCTCCATTCTCTAGTTAACTTTCTTCAGTGCCCTAGATGCATTCAATTCATTGCACCCAGCTCTGAAAGTCTGTTCCTCTTGCTAGGTCACTGTGGATATGGCAAGAGTAGAGAGCTGATGTCAATAAGAGAGAAGTTCCTTCTGTGTAGTGCATCAACCCTGTCCCTGACTGCTGCTCACCTTGCCCATATGTTTCAGAGAGACTGGGAATTGGACTTAATGAGGGACTTCTACATTAGTCAAGCTCTCCCTCCAACCTCCTGCTAGAACTTGGCACCTCTGAAAATATCACCTTACCCAAGACCTGAGTCTTCCCCACAGGTGACTCCTCCTCACAGTGAGATGTCCAGAGCTCAGAGAGACTAAGCTCCCATAGTCCCATCTGGCAGTAATTGTGCCCCAAGAGTTCCTCTCCTAGCTGCTTTCCCTGAGATCCAGCAGGCCCTACACTAAAAAAAAGCAGAGTCTGTGTCTTTCCTAGGCAGCTTTTCGGAGCGACCTCTCTTACCTCCTTGAGCTGATTGGGAGCGGTAAGGAATCACTGATCTTCATGAAGAAGAGGATCCGGCACTTGGCCATGCAGTGGATTCTAGCAACCCGACGCCTGGAGCAGAAACTGAAGGGCAGACGGAGGGATCAGAAGCAGGTACCAGATGAACTATTTGTGGGAGCCCTTTGTCCTGGGCTGTTGGAGAAGTTGCGGTGCTCATGATGTGGAAGAATGATATGGCAGCAAATAGGAGGCAGTACAAAATGTTGGGAGGAGGGTACAATTAGCCTGTGTCTTTGGCGGGCCAGTAGGGGGGCGCTTCTGTGCTGAGCCACCCACCTCACTGCACCCAACCACCTACCAAGCTCCAAGTGCCTCCTCTGGGGTGCCTCACATCTGGCCAACCCCCTTCTTGGAGCACACCTGCAAGCCTGGGGTAACCGCTGCCACCACCCAGGGGTCTGATCTTTATTCGGGCCCTGTGCCCTCTGGGGCACACAGGCCTTGTAGACCTTGAGGGTGCTTGATCCGCTGCAAGAACGTGGAATGCTTCCTTAAGCCTGGAGCACAGATAGTAGCCTTCCTTAGTCAGACGAGCATAGGGAGCATCATGCATGCTCCAATCCTTCTCCCAGCACCAAGCTTGTTATAGAGGAGAGCTTTATTGGTTAAAGAGGGTAGGCTTGGGGAAGGGTACAGGTTAGAGAAGTATCACAGAATAGCCCAGAGCAAACAGTACCTGCTTAGTCACTTTTTGACATGCCTCTGCATTACAGTAAGCTATATTTCTAGATAAGTTTCAGGTAAGTTACTCACATGTTCATCTGCAGCGTAGAAGAGTTCCAGAGGTTGTGTTTACTCCATGCTCTCCAATATGGCTCCCCCGCTTCCAGGAAGAAGGGACCCTTAAATAACCTTTCTGATTTCATCCCTTGGACCAACCATAGATCAGTATTCTCAGACCATGGCTGACACGGGTTGGTCAGTTTAAAAAATGTCAGCACCCTTGGGTTGCACCCAACCACCTACCAAGCTCCAAGTGCCTCCTCTGGGGTGCCTCACATCTGGCCAACCCCCTTCTTGGAGCACACCTGCAAGCCTGGGGTAACCGCTGCCACCACCCAGGGGTCTGATCTTTATTCGGGCCCTGTGCCCTCTGGGGCACACAGGCCTTGTAGACCTTGAGGGTGCTTGATCCGCTGCAAGAACGTGGAATGCTTCCTTAAGCCTGGAGCACAGATAGTAGCCTTCCTTAGTCAGACGAGCATAGGGAGCATCATGCATGCTCCAATCCTTCTCCCAGCACCAAGCTTGTTATAGAGGAGAGCTTTATTGGTTAAAGAGGGTAGGCTTGGGGAAGGGTACAGGTTAGAGAAGTATCACAGAATAGCCCAGAGCAAACAGTACCTGCTTAGTCACTTTTTGACATGCCTCTGCATTACAGTAAGCTATATTTCTAGATAAGTTTCAGGTAAGTTACTCACATGTTCATCTGCAGCGTAGAAGAGTTCCAGAGGTTGTGTTTACTCCATGCTCTCCAATATGGCTCCCCCGCTTCCAGGAAGAAGGGACCCTTAAATAACCTTTCTGATTTCATCCCTTGGACCAACCATAGATCAGTATTCTCAGACCATGGCTGACACGGGTTGGTCAGTTTAAAAAATGTCAGCACCCTTGGGTGAGAGTTTAGGGTTACACAAGACAGAGGATGAGCAAGTCCCCCCCTGGAATTTGCAACCTTGTTATCATGGAGACTAGGTGCCTTCCACAGCCAGAGTTTGTAACCAGAGTGGGAGGTTTGGGTGGTAGCCCTACATCAGTGAGACAGGCCAGCAGAGAGGTTTATTCCTGCACAGTACCCACCAGTAAATTGACTTTGTCTGTCCTTTGAAGACCATGGGCAGGTCGCTAGGTGCATTCAACCAACCGACATCTGAACTGAACTCTTATGTACGTTCAACCAACCCCTAACCATCATCTGCACTGAAAGCCAGACTGAGTGTCTGGTAGGGACACTGGCAGCCAGGGCTTCTTTCCTCTTTCTGGGCAGACTATCCTAGATCTCATTTATGGGGAAGTGAAGACTAAGCCAGGAATCCAGCTGTTGACACTGTGTTGGGTGTAGGTATAGGCTTTTCTAGGGCACCCAGTTCCTTATGTAAATAGGGAAAGGCCATCCCAAAATCCATGGCTGAAATTCTACGGCACATTCATGTTCATTATGCTGGCAAATTGCCCTGATCCTGGCTGGTGTTGAGCATCCACAACTTGATCACATTCAGTGGGTCCAGATCTGAGGAAGGGGTGTTGAGAGCCCACATTGTCCATTGAAGTCAATGGAATCTGTGGGAGCAGGACTTCTCTGCCTATCAGGCTTCTTTCTGCATTTACTCAAATCTAAGATGACCCTGAATTTAAGACAACCCCCCCCAATAATTAGATTCTATACATGTAAAAAAATTATAAATTTGTTATAATTCTGCTTGTATACAATATAATTATTGGAGAGGCATCTTTAATGCACCGCTGCAGGGGGCAAGTGGTATGGGGAGGTCAAGCAGCTTGCCTTCTGCCTGTGCCTGTCCCCCTGCCACCTCTGTCCTTTGCCTGCCCCCCACCAGCCTCAGGTCCCCCTTCCCCCCAACAGTGTCTGCTCCCCCTGCCCCCAGCCTCCTCTGTTCCACACAGGCAGGCTTCATCCCTATTTCAGCCTGGAGCATGTCCCCAACCTGGTCCATAGCAGTCATGTGGGCTGTGCGCTGCTGCTACAGGTCTGGGCTGGGGCTATGCTCAATCCCCCAGGCTGAAGCATGTGTGGAGTCTGCCTGCACAAAGCACAAGTAAGGCAGGGAGAGAGAGGGACAAGTGGGGGAGCAGAGGCTGCATGGGTGGTGGAGATGATGAGAAGAGGCTGCAGTGGGGAGATGACAGGGTACAAAGGCAGTAGAGGTTGCAGGGGGCAGACAACAGCTGCAATTATGGGCCTCCCCTGGGTAAGGGTTGGAGCTGAGCCACAGCAGCCGTATGCCCCCCCCATACTTTCTTTGTACTCAATTGTAAGCTGAGGGGCTTCCCTCCCCCATGTAAAATGGGGAAAAAACCCTCCTCTTAGAATCGATTAAATGTGGTACTGTGTGGTACCTAACCATGGATTTGGTTGCTTTTTCAGCCTGAGAGTTTTGCTTGAGTAAAGATGGAATAAAAACCTGGATAAGGACCTAGGAGTTTGGAGTCAGTAGAGTAAGGGGGGCACATAGCCTGGGTTTTAAGGGGTGGTGTGGAATCAAGGCTTGTGGGCACTGGAAAGGATGCAACTATGCTGCTAGGCAGATAGCTAGACATTGGGCCCAGTGGAGAGGGCTAGGAACCAAGCAGAGATGTTAGGGAGACTCTTCAGTCCTGGCAGCTAATTGCTTAGGGGAAAGAAGCAGGGAGTGAAGACACGGGTGCCCCCCTCCCCGCCCACTACCAAATTAGGGGCTTTATTTATTTGCTCAGCATGGCATTTGGCAGCACCTGTTCGGGGGCGGGGGGCAGAGAGGAGGCGTAACTTCTTAGCTGGTGGACACTATCCCCCACAGCTGCCAGGGCATTAGAACTGTCTGGGCTTCACCCGATGTCTCCTTCCCCTCTGTGCAGAGCTGGAGTCTGCAACTGGAACCTAAGAGCCCCTCAACCTTCACCCCTTAGGCCCTTGAGACCATCCAGAGGCACAGGTGTGCTCCTGGGTGCCCTGGGTGACAAAGGAGCTCACTACACCCCTGTTTGGAGTACTAAGTAGCTTCTGTTATATACACCAGAACTGAGGAACCTTGTTTCCACAGATAGTAAACTCACTGAAAAATGATGTGTTGGGTAGACAGAAACTTTTTGCAAATTTGGGTCATGTTTGATGACTAGTTTCACCTGTACATGTTGGAAATTCTGAAACATTTTGTCCCAACAGTTTTTTAAAGAAATTTTTCAAATGTTTGTTTCAAAATAGCCTTTCTATTTTAAAATTGACTCAGAAAGAAAAAAAAAAAAGATCAAGCAAAAGGGTTAAATAGCTTGAAAACAAAGCAAGACATGTTGTAGGTTATTGCCAAGTGATGGTTTGTGTTGTTACCAAAGGTCCAAAAGAGTCTGTTTAGGTTCAACCTGAATTTTTTGTTTGGCCATGAAAAACTCATTTTTTATCTAGATCTGGTATGGAGTCATTACTTCTGAACAATTTCTATAGAGCCAGGCCTACAGTGACTTGGTCATGAGAACATCCTCCTCTCTCCTTGTCTCTAGATTTTGGTTCATATTGGCTTCCTGACCGAGGAATCAGGGGATGTCTTCAGCCCCAGAGTGCTGAAAGGAGGGCCTCTGGGTGAGATGGTCCAATGGGCAGACATCTTGGCAGCCCTCTTCATTCTGGGACACAGCCTGAAAGTCACGGTCTCTTTGAAAGAGCTGCAAAGGTGGGTGCCACATTGATGTCCACGATCAGGTGGGGTTATCTGTTGGGCTGGTGTTTGTGTTCCTGGGTGGTAAAATGTGCAGTGTTGGCATTTGGAATCAGCAGACTGCATCTCCAGCCATTTGAGGGTTAATCTGAACTCTTATGTTTTCATAGTTGTTGGGAGCCTGGAAACACTGTGTGCGCTGTCATAGACCTTGTTTGCGCTGTGTATTTACCCTCAGTTCAGCCATTGCTGTTGTGGCACCAGTGTAAACGCAGACAAGGAAAGGCCTGATGGGGGCAGTTCACCCTGGCTTCCAGGAGGTGTGGATGGCCTGATGCCCATTCTAGTACGACGGCCGGGCTTCGCTGTGGTGCAATCCCACCAGAGGTTGGACACTGATTGTCGAAATCTCCAGTGCAGGCAAAGCCAGAGAACTTCTGGGGCAGATCCTCAGTGGGCATGAGCCATTGTGACTCCACTGTTTACTCACCAGCTGCGGATATGCCGTTCCTGGGTGCATGACTTGAAGAACATGTTACTCTTCAACTGGTCAAGGGTTCCTGGGACCACTGCAGGCAGCCCAGCCTGAAAAACTAGCATCTGTCCTTGTCTCCCCCAGAGGAACCTGCCTTTTTCCAAGAACCACTCCCATGAATGTGGAATCTGTGCTGTAGAGAATTGGGAACTTGGATCCTGATCTTCCTTTCAGCTGACCATGGTGTCAGTTGGGAGTAGCACACCCAAATCTGACTGAGTGACTGGTGCAGAGTCAGTGGAAGTAAGAGGTGAAACATGACTGAAGTGTCTGCAGGATGGCTCTGGTCCAAGGTTGCTTTTGTAGACAGGGAAGTCTTCTCCTTTGGTTTCATGTAGCCTGGTCTTTCATGTGCAGCCTTGCCAAGTTACTTAGCCCAGACAGTGTGATGGCAGCATGGATGGAGGATGGAGGTGTGCAGCAGTCCAGCATTCCCAGTTTGCTTCCACTGACTGTGCTGGCATTGTTTAACAGCAATCATGCTACCCTCAGTAAGCCTGGTTCCTGCCCTGCCTGCCCTCCCCTGCCCTTCTCATCCAGAAGCATTGAAAGACCTCTTCACAACGTGCTCAGGGTTGAGGGGTGGGGGCTGAATCCTGGGTATGCACCAGAAACTGCTTCACATTTGCACTGAAGCCTTAGCACAACATCAGAGTAATATAAAGGCAGAGACTTAGCCTAAGGAGACCAGAATGTAAATGACCCACTGGGTTTTATTCACTGGATCTTCTGGATTGATTTTTCAAGAGCACCAAGTGCTTGCTTTCCCTCACTAGCTCCTCAAATCAGGCCAGCTGTCATCAGAGATGGAAAAGAGCCATTAATTCCTCTAGCCTAGCAGCCTACCCAAGAGCAAGATAGTTCCTGGTAGTGTATGATGTAGTGCTCTGTCCACTACAGTTCCAAATGCCTCCAGTAGTGGGGCCTTACACTGTTGGATGTCTAAGATCCAGGCATTTTTCAGGGACCAGCTGATCTACTACAGATGTTCTCTAAGGGCATTTCCAGTTTACTTCTTTCTGGCCCCTCCTGACCAGAGATGAGCAATTAAACAGACTATATGGCTCAATGCAGACTTGAGCACCCCCCGTTCCAGCGCTGCTGTCGGAGAACCTCAGCCTGGCCATGTATATGCCCTGAACCATCTCTTCAGCTTGATCACTGGTCTCTGGGAAGGAGCAGCAAGGACCTATTTTGTTGGTGGCAAATCCAGGTTTGGGAGGAAAGCCATATAGATGTGCTCTAAATCTTCTGAGCTCCTTTTTGTCTTGTTGGTAATTCACTCCTTGTGCATGTTTGCTGGCAGTAATACAATCTTTGCTAAGCAGGCTGTTGAAAGGACACAGGGCTGTATCACCACATTTATCCCCAATAGCACGTCTATATCTGCTATCCAAGTCCCCAGGCACACAGGAGACCCCCCTCTGCTTCTACCATCCCAATGTTTCCCTTAAAGGGTGATCCAGACCTACAGGGCAAGGGGCAGCAAAAATATACTAAATGCAGGAGGCAAAACACAGCAATCTAAAGCTGCCCCATTGACTAATCAGTGTTTGGGCAATACTAAGCCACAGCTTGCCACATAATAATCCATGCTGGAAAGTTCATGAGAGGAGGGGGGGAAAAAGACCCAACCCCTGCAGCATTCAGAATTAACAAGGGGAATTTGCTCCTGAGTAATTATCTCAGAAAATCATCCTGGGCTTAATGCAAAGCACAGCACCTTCTGTAAGAACCACGCACATTGCACAAAAATCTTCAGGTCAGAGTACATGCTGTGTGCCGAGGTACGCTGCTGTCAAAATAATATCTGCGTACACTAGGGTGACTGAAGTTAATGCCTGTTTTTTAAATGAAGATCCTCACAGGTGTGGTTAATGGCAGGGAAGACTCAGCTGACTCCTAGAGGAATCGGTAAGGAGTTTGCTTTCAGCAGCAAGTGACTCTGCCACAACAGCCTGCAACGTCATCTGTGGCTTTTCGCCATTCTCCAGAACACAGTAGCTTAGACGTCCATTAGCACAAACAAAATCCCCCACTCTGCACTGATGCTAGCGCTCCCCTGAGACACCTCTGAACGAAGCCCTGAAAAACAGCCTTGTACTGGCAAGTATTCTCTTCCCCTTCCCAGCCAGGACTGAGAGCAACAGAGTACTGGATCAGTACAGCAACACTGCACGCTCCTGCCTGCAATAGAATACAGCCTGGAAATGTTTCCACCTCTTCTGAGTGGATTTTACTGAGCAGTGGGCAAGCCGCAAAGAGATACCAGCTTGACCTATTTTGTCTCACGGTTCATCCCGAGGCCAATTTCTTTCTTGGCCTTTTAACCTTTCTAGCACTCTTGGAAGCCAATGCAGCTTCTCTCATCTGGCTTGGAAATACAGAGTATCCATTTGTGATGAAGTTACACATTACACTTGGACCGTTCTAAATTGTGGAACGGTGAAGTTAGCATGTGCTATGAGGAATCTCACGTCAGGGGTTAATACCATTTCTATCCTGCACAGCTGTGACTTGCCACTAAAGAGCTGGTGAGCAGGGGCTTGGTTAAGAGCCAGGGCACTGGGCTCTACTCCTGCTCTGGTGGGAGTGTGGGGGTGGGAGTGGTGCATTCTGGGATGCTGGAGGACTGCAAAATGCTTATTTTATCTCTGTGGAGCAGACTGGAGTTACCCTAACACGAGCTCGGTAGCATGGCCAAGAATCAACCTTTGCCTGAAGTGGCATAAGTTTGAGATGCTCAGAGGCCACTTAGCACAAGTTAACCATCTTGAATGTGTGGATGCTTGTGTTCCAAGTGCCCTTAGTATGGTCTAAGTGTAATGTGTAACTTAGTGCCCCAACGGTCTCAGCAAGCAGAGGGAGTAATAATAGTAGAGACACACCTTCTCAGCAAAGACAAGTATGGTGTACGTACAACCAGACTCAACAGGTACATTTACACTGCTGTGACTGCAGCTCCTGCAGACATATGCGAGCTGGCTAGATTGGGTTTTGCTAGGGATGCAGTCACAGTAGCATGGAGCTCAGTGCAGACTATGAAACCTGCCCAAGAAGCTGCACGCATACTTGGGTGGCTTTTCTAGCCTGTGCTAAGCTCCCTGCTGCCACAGTTAGACTGTGTTTAAGAATGCCCCCCCCCCCCCAAGTCCTATTTCCATCGCCAAACCTGGAAATACACCCATGAAACTGTCCCCTGCAATGGCTACTATAGAACATGAATGGCACATTGTTTCAAGAGTAACTGGGGAGGGAGAAGGGTGGAGAAATGTTCTCAGAGTGGCTTCATCAGTACATGTCTAGATTCGGATCAGGTGGGAGAGACCACACATAGGGACATCCCAGCCAAACTATGCTGCTGTCACGGTGTGTAGACAATACCCTACAGGGACTGCAGCGATTGTCCTGTAGATGTATCCAAATTCCCTTCTGAGGTGGCATCTGCCACATAACATGTAGGGCAACATTTACTGCACAGACTGTGTAGGCTGCTTCCTCAGAAAGCTTGTGTGTCAAGGTCTCGGGTTAAGCTTTATCTGCTGCTGCTGCTCTGCAATGAATGAGAGATCTGCTGTGAATTATGTCCTTGGGAACAGCTGCTTATTCATATGAGATCTGGATGGGCATAGAAGTCCTGTTAGACTGGAATTGAGGTGCAAGGTGAGCCTTCTAAGAAAGCAGCCAATTCTTTAACATGATATTGAATTATGTTCATTGTTGCCAGTTAAATTGCTTGCTGTTCATACACAGTGCCCCTGTGGTGCCAGTGGCTTTACAGCCAGGTATAAAGGCAAGAGCTCTTTCCAGAAGTATTTTGGCTTGTGCGGCCCTTGCGTGTGTGTGAGAGATACAAAGAGCCTTTTGTGTGTGTGTGTGCGTGCGTGCGTGTGTGTGTGTGCATGTGCGTGCGCGCACACACATGTACAAGAGAGATGCACACAAGGAGTCTGTCCCTTAGTAGCATAGGAAAGGAGAGGTGATTGGGGCACCATCTCTTGGCTCCGACCCCAAAGAGGGATGAAAAGAAGTGCCTACACTTCTGGACCAGTTGGTGTCAGGTAGTGATGCTGCCCCGTGCATGTCTGCCACCCAAGGCATTCAGGAGTCACAATTTGCCATGGCATTCCCTGCTGACCCCCCTGCACTATGACAAGGGACAAGCTCTATCCTCTATGCTCAAGCCAGTCCAGGGGCCTGAAGCAAATTGCTCCAGTGGGATGAGAGAGCAGGAGGAAGCCATGGGTTAACCAAGGGAGGGACTCACAGATGCGCAAGTTTCCATCTTCCCTAGGGGTAAGACTCGGAAGAAAGGGGGAAAAAAAGGCTTCAGTCATTGAGTGGAGAATCATTGGTGCCCAGCCAAAGGTACGAATAGTGGGAATGGAGGTGGGTAGGGTGGACATTGGTGAGGTTAAAAAAGACCTCTCCCCTCTCCTCCCTGGGTTTGGCCATAGCACTAGTTTAAAGGGAGGAGAGA